GGATAGCTTTGCAGGTCCGCTAACTGGCGACTTCACGGCGCTACTAAATCGATCGCTGACATGTGCTTTTCGCGAATATATGATCTTTCGTACAGTGATTTTTTAAGGCAAATCGTGGATCACCTGGTATTAGAATAGATAAATATATCCTGAATAGTACCATTAACCCATTGCATGGCACACTCTCGTAATTTCCTTCACGATGCTCATCAACTGGGTATGAGAATGCTTATGATTTTGCCTGAACGAAACTGTTTCGAAGATCTATAATCCCAGCTTCAGCGCAAGTTGTGTAAATTCCCACTATCATTAAACAACAATATATGAATCTGCTCACTGTGACATAGTGTTGTTCCAGTTTGTCTCTGTTGACTTGGCTTCGTGATTCTCTATTGGTTTCACTGACGGTTCGTTTGTTTACTAATTTTTTTTATTGGCTCTAAGCGTGTAAATGTAATTCTACTTTGTGATATGTACAGCAGCTTCATGTTTTTAATTCTCGTTTGATGAAAATTTGAATTTTTCCGTTAGCGGTGCCGTTCAAGTAGGGATCTTTCATTCATTCTTTGCACTATTGATTTCTCGTAGAGCGAAAGTCCCTAAAAACAGTGGGACTGTCTTTTCCTTACTTCAGGTGCGCTATTTTAACATTTTCTTATGCATTGTTCGTCTAAGATTTTGTGAACATCGTTTTTTCTAAAACGATTTTGAATTTGCCCTATAATGCTTCCTATACGCAGTGCATATAAATCTTTGACGGTTGGTAAGAAAATCTATATTTGGCGTGACACAGACAAAAAGTATAGATAATCTGATCAAAAGGTCCCCTTGCTTCATACTTGGGATTATACGACGTGGTACTCTTAGATGATAGTTTGCTCTAGTACTGCAAAATTTTGTGAAAATATCGATTTTATGTGAATTAACATAATATGAATTGGCACAACCAGAATTAAACATTAGCATAATATAAGTAGCATTAACGTGAATTAATTTAAGCAGTAACTAACCAGTTTTACCTCGGAATTAGTTTTAAAAAATTGACTGTTTTACATATTTTGAACTTTTCGGTCCTATGAATCCAAGATTAGCCTTTATTTCATTAAACTTATGTATGGTTGCGGTAGTCAGAACAAGACGTCAAACATCCGTAATCTATAACGCAGTTCCAAACTATCTCTTCGATTTCGGCTAAAGTTTGGACCTAAGGACAATTTTAAATCGTTTATGAGAGGAAGCAAATTTGTCAAAAAAAACTGATAAAAAGCTGACATTTCTCATTACAGTGACGTAATCAGTGACTTTAAAACAAAAGGGCATGTTATATGTAAGATACAATCCACCAAAGTAATAAACAGTAAAAGTGACTATTGTCTTGTCCAATGCAAGTGTCGTTTCCATTGCTTTGACCTGCAAGGGAATTGGCTGTGATTCGACCGATGTTTGCTTCTGAAATTTGACTCAAACATTACTTGTCCTTCATTATAAGGCAAGCGAACATGATGCTTAGGTCATTTCTTCATACACTTCGTGTTTAGAAGGTATCGCTGGCACTGTCTTTCCCGTAGAACTGCGATCTCAGAATATTTTGTTTCAACAATGTTATACTGTTGTTTCTATTAAACGAACGGATACGACTGGCTTTTGCAGCAAAAGTAGCTTCGTTTTCATGTCGTCGAAATGAGTTGTAATTTTCATTAGACGTGAAACCATTGCATTCAACAGTTGGCCAGTCATTAAGTAAAGCATATGAAATAAAACTTATGAAAAAGAATTGCAGACAAATGTTTATGTGGTAGCATGTAAAGAGCACCAGCTCCTGGAACATCGTTTATGCTAGCGCGAAACGGCTTTAGCTGACAAAATAATGCGAGGTGCTTCGGGCACTGCAAATGCTCATAAACCATTGAGCGGTTGGCTGCTTAGATGACTGCCCCTTAGGGTAGGTGAAATATGCCGTGACATCTGGTCTTGGGGAATTTTTGTTATAAGATAAATGCTTTGGTATCAAAAATTTCCGTCGATCTTGTGTTTTTTCTTCACAATAAGTCTGTAGCTTATAGAAAGTATAGACGATTGATTGTTTCGAAGGTCATTATTTTGTTGGCTAGCACAACGAAACATAATGTATGCAATATCGTCCTCGTCCTTACAACAGGCAGTTCAGTAATATCCATCACTGTTATATTTCAGGTAATTTGGCGCTTTTGTTGCACACTCTGGAATGGAAATCCGTTTTAATGAGCGATTATGTGCCTCCACTAATACGATTGTTCTTAACATCCCCGTATTTCTATCCCTTATAACTGTTTGTAAATTGGCTGTTCACCTCTACAAGCAAAATGAGCCTGTCTAACTAGATCGCTGAATTGCTAATTACTTTAATATCGGAAAATTGTTTTAGACAGACCAATCAGCGTTATGCGACAAAGATCATTGACAAACGCAAAAGTTGTTTGAAGGTTTGTTGTTTGTTGTTGTTTGTTCATGCTTTACCTACATCTTGTATAGAGATACTTGCAGGATGAAATTATACACAACGAAATCCGGCTTATGCAGGATCTCAGGCACCCGCATATCGTTCAGTTGTACAGTAACTTCGATACTCAGGATTTTATTTGCCTCGTTATGGAGCACGTGCAGGTAAGTCTTCGCTTGTTGTACAATCAGCAGCAAAAATGAACCGGTCTTTTCCGTGATCCGTCTTTCAGGCTGGTGTTCCTTTAGTTATTTACGTTTTCAGGTTGTATCTAGGACCTCTTAAGCCTTTTCTGATGCATCCATTTGTTGTCCTAAACTGCTAGTGGTTGATGGAATGCACGTTTTTCTTTACGAACGAGCCGTATGTCTAGGGTTCGAACACTTTCTTAACTTAACTTAACTAGCGCGAAAGACGGTCGCGGTGAGAGGTCTAAACTGATTCAGACAAGGCTGGACTCATCTTTGTCTGACTTTGTCCTTCAGCCAATCTGACACTGACCACTCTGCAGGAAGCGAGTCTCAGTGCTCTAGTCAGCGCTGCATGTAGGTCATTGAAATGCGTAGGCCCTATGATCGTGTAAAATTGGCACTTAAAGGACTTTTCTGTCAATTAAAATTTAAATTTAGATTTTTAATTTGCACCGCTCCGAAAACTTACCGTGGTTTCGATTTTAACCCAATATAAAGGTTTGACGACGTTAATGCTACGTTTTTAGAGTAATCTAATTTCAACCGTTTCAGAACATTGAAAAGTACAGCTGTTTTTATGTGATATGTATTGCTGATGATATCTAACAATAATGGTACATGTTCTTTGAAGAAGATTTCTGACCGGCATCGCGCGATCCACTTCCAATTAACTCGGCACTCACAATCCTGTACATCGCTTTGCTCATATTTCTGTTTCGTCTTTTTTGGGGTATCTCAGTCGATAAAGTGCTGAACTTGCAGTCAAATGATCACGGATTTGAATTTCGCTCGGCCCGCTCGCATTTCACCATTCCAGGTAGACAAGTTAGCCCTACTGCGCGGAAAAACTTTGAGACTAGATGCTGCAAGGACCACCATTGCCATTTATCTCTGTCGATGATCCTTCCATAAACAGATTGACAGCATGTAAGCCTGAAAATACGAAAACGATTGACTTTCCAGCGGTTGTTTACTTTCACTTTTCAGCCCTTCGCTTTTGTTCATAAGACGAAACCAATCTCACTGAAAATTCTGCAATATCAAAAAACTTATGCAATATTTTCACATACATAATTAATATGACCACAAGTCCTAATAGCAGGAAATGTAATTCTTCTATATTATATATTAATGAGCGAATGCTCCTGTAGTTGCAGCTTCACTTCCGACAGTCT